GGCCGTATTCCAGAGAATTAGAAAGGCAATAAACTACTGTGAGGCAAACCAAGTAGGGCAATAGAGACAAGGTGTGTTTGAGGTGCAGTGTATGTATTTCAGCCTGAAGCTGTAAGACTGTCATCTATAGGATTAAAGGAATTTAAGGAGTTTCATCTTCCCATTCACAGGCACGAAAGTGTTGTGAGGTAACACCGTATTGGGCTTTATTTTTCCCCTCCCTCAGTACTCAAGGACAGGCTTTATCTAGAAGTTGCAGATGCCCCATGATCTCTCCTGTATGAGTGAAATATCTAACTGGAGAAAATAGAGAAAAGAACCAAAATGAGAGGAGAGTTGCCAGCGTTACGTGGCCCTTGGGAATGGCGTCGGGGAGTTCACGCTGGCCACAGGCCAGGCCTGAGGTCGCAGGCCCATTGTTGTTTGGGAGCGGGACAGGCCCTCGGTGACAGGAAATCCATTGTCCCTGTTTGCTCCCCAAAAGACTTGACGCAAAAGCTGTGGGTGAAATAAGTGTGAAATAAACCCATACCCCACGGTCAGATTCATCAGTACCAGAGGCCTCTCTTACTCTCTGGGCTGAAAAACTTTTCCCAAAGCAGGGAAAAAACAGCCCTTCTCAGAGTCTGGCAGGGAAGGGATCACACCTATTGGTCCTTACCTTCTTGAGGAGGGACTTTATTAATTGCAGCCACATTAATTCTAGAGTCGGATAAAGTATATCAGTGACTTCTGATACAACTGGAACCAGGATAACAACCGCTCTTGTGCTTAAAGCACACACTATAGAGTGTGCAAAGCAGCTGGCGGGGCTCTTCCCTCCACAGTTCAACAGAGAGTCCTTCTCTTGTGTGGGGAAGGTGGGATATGGGCAGCATCCCCAGGCTGGGTGGACATGAGTAAGAGCAAAGCTGTGGGGACTTGTGGCTGAACTTGTACGGAGACAATTCAGGCAGGATTTGCCCGGGTTTAACACGTCGTGGTTTAGTTGCTTGTGCACCCCCTCAGCAGTCTTTGGCTTTAGCAGAGCTACATTCTCTTACTTTTCCCCAAGGAGTAAATCCATACATTGAAAATTAACATTCAGGACAGCTCTAACCCAAGAGGTAACTTGCCCATCCCATGGCAGCTTAAGCCTAAGACCACAAATCACAGGAGAAAGCAGCATCGTTAAAAGCTTGGTTGCATTTTTTAGAGATAACTTTTTTTTCAAAGTAAGATTTGTTAGTTTGTGTCTTTCCTCAAGTTGCAAATAAGCTGAAAATAAAATTTCCGTACCTCCTTCAGTGGGGAATCCACAGTTCCCTTGGGTCACAACCGAGCGGAGATGGTTTCTGAAGGAAAGGACCACAAAACCATAAAGAGCAATATGGGCTTCGGGGTTTTTATAACTTGGATATTACCAATCTGAGGATGTTACTGAAGGATCAACAAAAGTTGAGTTGATTTTTGTGGAGCTGAGCAGCCTTTCAACTAGAAAGACACTTGCTGTGGAGCAAGAGCACAGTCATGTAGAACACAATCTGTTTGCTGAAGTAGGTGGACACACCTTGAGAGACTAATTAGTGCTGGTATTTGCTGTGCTGAAGTGGGTGGACACACCTTGAGAGACTAATTAGTGCTGGTATTTGCTCAACCTCTGTAGAAATTGCACTGGAGCCAGGTGAAGCCCAGAGTCAGTTACAATGTGTGCAGGTGACATTAATTACTCCTAATTGATGAAATGGGCTGGTACTGGAGAAATAGCCCTTATGTGGCAGTTTCCAGTGGGACAGCCAAATATGCCACAGAAGAGAAAAAGGTGGGGACAGTAAATTTGGGTGACTCCTGGATGTGTTCAATATCATCAGTGCGTATCAGGGGAGGGGCTTGCCTTAAGCTATAAAATTGTTAAATTGGTGTATTGACCCCTGTTCCTTTGAGCTGCCTTCTCTTACCTTTCACTTGGGACATTGTCTTGTTCCCTAAGAGCAAGATGAGCTTTTTCTTTTATGGGTGTGTGTGGAGGGGAGCAGGAACATCGGGTTTTGCTTGTAATAGAGCATTTTTCCTTTAGATGATATAATTAAGGAAAGAGAGAGACTGTGAAAGAAGCCGGGGGTGGGTATAAACTCCCAAATTCACGGACTTTGAAGATCTGCTCAAGATTACAGAGTTCCCCAGGTGCTCTTTTATTCAATTCCTTATTTGCTGTCAGCAAAGCTTGTTACAAAGCAGAATCGAAAGGTTTTTTCCTGATTATTGGAACTCATACACCACAGTACTGGAGAGGAAACCAGCAGGTCTTTTGGCTGAAGCCAGGCTGCTTCAACCTGCTTCTAAAGGTTATGGAGTACCAGCAGGTACCAGAAATGACTCTCAAACCTCTGTAGAGAACTTCTTCAGTGTGAGAGGAGGCTGGCAGGGTAAAAATCCCTCTTTTTTTTTTTTTTTTTCTTTGAGCTGATCTTTTAAGCCCCAGATTTGCCTAAGCCTTGCAGGAGCAACAGATAGGAAAACCTATGGAAAAAGCTGGTTTTTGCTGCTTCATGTTAACTCTTTGGCCAGATGGGAAGCTTTTAAGGACCATTTGAATGGGAATGGAGTGATAAATTGGAGGGAAATCTTCTCCTGCTTTTATGTCTTGCACTTACCAATGAGCTTGGTCTGTTTTCCACTTCCTCTGCTCGGCAGTGTCTTGGCTTGCAGCGGGACTGGGCACCAGTATTTCCAAGAATATTTGACTTGAGCCTTCCTCTGCTGAAACCCCTTTGGCTTCAGAGGGAGCAATTAAATTACTCAATGCCATTTGGATGTCCCACCTTTCATGCCTGGGAAGCGTTGTCTTCCCGAGGCTGCCTCAGTCTGCTCGAGGTCTGTAGTCCTTTGACTTGGGTCCACAGGCTGAGCCAGACCATAACCCCGACAAAAGACCATCCTTTCTTGGGGAAATATATTTTCTTTTGAAAATTTGAATGCACTGGAAGAAAGTTTCTAATTTTTAAATCACTCTGATACCAGTACGATGCCGCACCGTTTTGTTGATGTACAGTTTGGAGCATATTGCAGACAACTCTGCTGGTTTCATCAGGGCTAGAGAGACCCTGACAGAGTCAGGAAGAAGGAGAGTTGGGCTGGGTGTAAGTTCACAGCACTGGGCTTCTGTGGTACTGAAGGCAGGTTTGTGATCTGCTCTTTCTAAGGCTTTCTGTTTCTTCCTTTTCTCTCCTTTTATTTTCTCTTCTTAGGGTACTGGCTACCTAAAAGTGATCCCACGTTTTGTAGTAAAGCTAAACTTAACTCTTTTTTTAAAACTTTCTCCAGGTATGAAGATGGTTAAGTGACACCCCACTTGCTAAGTGACTAAGATCTTTGAGTATTTGTGTTTGCTCCAAAGGTTTCAGGGGTGATGTAGCTTTCTAGCTGCGGTCCATTAAAATCTGTCAAGTAATTTCACTGAATTTTCACTGAATTTTCACTGAATTTCTAGAGTTGGAAGTTAAGCCCCAGATTCGCCTAAGCCTTGCAGGAGCAACAGATGGGAAAACCTATGGAAAAAGCTGGTTTTTGCTGCTTCATGTTAACTCTTTGGCCAGATGGGAAGCTTTTAAGGACCATTTGAATGGGAATGGAGTGATAAATTGGAGGGAAATCTTCTCCTGCTTTTATGTCTTGCACTTACCAATGAGCTTGGTCTGTTTTCCACTTCCTCTGCTCGGCAGTGTCTTGGCTTGCAGCGGGACTGGGCACCAGTATTTCCAAGAATATTTGACTTGAGCCTTCCTCTGCTGAAACCTCCTTGGTTTCAGAGGGAGCAATTAAATCACTCAATGCCATTTGAATGTCCCACCTTTCATGCCTGGGAAGCGTTGTCTTCCCGAGGCTGCCTCAGTCTGCTCAAGGTCTGTAGTCCTTTGACTTGGGTCCACAGGCTGAGTCAAACCATAACCCCGACAGAAGACCATCGTCTCTTGGGGAAATGTATTTTCTTTTCCTTTGGCTTCAGAGGGAGCAATTAAATTACTCAATGCCATTTGGATGTCCCACCTTTCATGCCTGGGAAGCGTTGTCTTCCCGAGGCTGCCTCAGTCTGCTCAAGGTCTGTAGTCCTTTGACTTGGGTCCACAGGCTGAGCCAGACCATAACCCCGACAAAAGACCATCCTTTCTTGGGGAAATATATTTTCTTTTGAAAATTTGAATGCACTGGAAGAAAGTTTCTAATTTTTAAATCACTCTGATACCAGTACGATGCCGCACCGTTTTGTTGATGTACAGTTTGGAGCATATTGCAGACAACTCTGCTGGTTTCATCAGGGCTAGAGAGACCCTGACAGAGTCAGGAAGTCAAACCATAACCCCGACAGAAGACCATCGTCTCTTGGGGAAATGTATTTTCTTTTGAAAATTTGAGATTGAGCGCACTGGAAGAAAGTATCTGATTTTTAAATCACTCTGATGCCAGTATGATTCCACACCGTTTTGTTGATGTACAGTTTGGAGCGTATTGCAGACAACTCTACTGGTTTCATCGGGGCTAGAGAGACCCTGACAGAGTCAGGAAGAAGGAGAGTTGGGCTGGGTGTAAGTTCACAGCACTGGGCTTCTGTGGTACTGAAGGCAGGTTTGTGGTCTGCTCTTTCTAAGGTTTTCTGTTTCTTCCTTTTCTCTCCTTTTCTTTTCTCTTTTTAGGGTACTGGCTACCTAAAAGTGATCCCACGCTTTGTAGTAAAGCTAAACTTACTCTTTTTTTAAAACTTTCTCCAGGTATGAAGGTGGTCAAGTGACACCCCACTTGCTAAGTGACTAAGATGTTTGAGTATTTGTGTTTGCTCCAAAAGTTTCAGGGGTGATGTAGCTTTCTAGCTGCGGTCCATTAAAATCTGTCAAGTAATTAAAGTTTGGTGATTAAAGTGAGCCCAAGGAATGAAGCAGAACAATATTTCAAATCAGTGGCTTTTATTTCATCCCCCTTTTCCTTCCTGAGGGCCCGTGATTCATTTTGCTTTATATTTTGGGCAGATCTGCAGCCTGTCACCTACTGCGAGCCGGCTTTCTGGTGCTCCATATCCTACTACGAGCTCAACCAGCGAGTGGGAGAGACCTTCCACGCCTCCCAGCCCTCCATGACCGTGGATGGGTTCACCGACCCGTCGAATTCGGAACGTTTCTGCCTCGGTTTGCTCTCCAACGTGAACAGAAACGCGGCCGTGGAGCTCACGAGACGACACATCGGTAATTCCTATTTTCCTTCTTTCAGTCTTTCAAGGTGGAAGCTCTTAATTTTGCTAATTGGCATGCAGCTTGGTCAGTTTTAGACCACTGCGGTGTTTTTTTAGCAGGATAATCTTCCGGAAAGGAACACTAATTGTATTTTTTCATAAATTCATAGTTTTTCATAAAAGTATAATGAGGATGTTATGGGAGACAGTGTCAAAAGCCTTGCTGAAGTCAAGGTAGATGACATCTGCTGCCCTCCCCTCATCCAACCAACCGGTTATGGCATCATAGAAGGCTATCAGATTGGTCATACATGATTTACCCTTGGTAAACCCGTGTTGCCCACTTCCAATAACCCCCCACTCTTCAACTTGTTTGGAGATGACATCTAGTATGAGTCTCTCCATCACCTTCCCAGGGACAGAGGTGAGACTAACTGGTCTGTAATTAAAGTTTGGTGATTAAAGTGAGCCCAAGGAATGAAGCAGAACAATATTTCAAATCAGTGGCTTTTATTTCATCCCCCTTTTCCTTCCTGAGGGCCCGTGATTCATTTTGCTTTATATTTTGGGCAGATCTGCAGCCTGTCACCTACTGCGAGCCGGCTTTCTGGTGCTCCATATCCTACTACGAGCTCAACCAGCGAGTGGGAGAGACCTTCCACGCCTCCCAGCCCTCCATGACCGTGGATGGTTTCACCGACCCGTCGAATTCGGAACGTTTCTGCCTCGGTTTGCTCTCCAACGTGAACAGAAACGCGGCCGTGGAGCTCACGAGACGACACATCGGTAATTCCTATTTTCCTTCTTTCAGTCTTTCAAGGTGGAAGCTCTTAATTTTGCTAATTGGCATGCAGCTTGGTCAGTTTTAGACCACTGCGGTGTTTTTTTAGCAGGATAATCTTCCGGAAAGGAACACTAATTGTATTTTTTCATAAATTCATAGTTTTTCATAAAAGTATAATTAAAAAAAATGCACCGAGAAACACTAAAATCGCTGCATGGAACAGAGAGGGAATTTAGACATTCACATACACTTCTCTGGGTTTGGAGGGATGTGAGGGATAATCTTGTGTATTCCTTTTTCCTCCTGCACTGGTTTGTTTACTAACTGTTCTTTTATAAACAGAAACTTAGTTCCTTGCTTCTCATCTCAATTTTCACTTTTCCTGCTTATACTTCAAGGCAATATTCAATTTTGTTTCCAGTTAAACTTGCCCTAAATAGAAAAACCCAAATTTATGCAATTTTAATAAAAGGCAAAATTACCTTTGCTGTGTTTTCTGCTGACTTCTATCAAAAATGAACCTGCTTTTTATCCTGATTTTGCTCCCCGTTCCTGAGCAGTCGACTTCATACAGTACAATCTTTCCTTACTTGGTTTTAATATGATTTCTAGCACCACAAAATCCAACCAAGATGCAGAAATCACTCCTTAAATTCAGCAGGCTCCTTCTGCTCTGTGGAAGAATGAAAGCAAGATATTCAAATAGGAGCATGAGACCACAGCAAATGTTTATTTGAGCAACAAAAATGTATTCCTGAAATTTGTTTCTTTATTAACTGAGATTTTAATAGCTTGCATAAACTCCTATGGGAAATGGAGGTTTGTCTTTGTATACAATGTCATCTCAAGCAAAAGGCAATGATTTGAAAACGTTGTATAATTAAATTCCAAATCACTAAGCAAATAAACAGGCGTTTCCAGCTGCGATGACTTTGAGAAAAGGTTGAAAGCCCTGTGTTTGAAACCATATGTTGAATATGGTGGAAAACCATAAACTGTTAGAATGTTCATATGGAAAATATCAGCGACGTGTATGTTTGGGGTACACAGGCTGTGAGATAGGAAATTTATGCAGTCCAGGCTGTGATGGATGGTGGGGCCAGAGAGTGCAATTCTGAATTTATAAATTGCTCCTCTTGCCTTGGCTGAACTCGCTCCCGGAGCAGGTTTCTTGCTCCCTAGTGGGGCGAAAGAGGTGGTTTTCATTTTCCATCATTCATCGTTGAGCTGCTTGTTGAGAGCTGTCTCCTGCAGAGGGTCTCTGTGTCTCTACCAGCTCTTCTTTTCAGGCTGGATATTAGGAAAAATTTTTTCACTGAAAGGGTTCTCAGGCATTGGAATGGGCTGCCCAGGGAGGTGGTTGAGGCACCATCCCTGGAGGTGTTCAAAAGCCGGGTTGATGTAGTGCTGGGAGGTCTGGTTTAGTGATGATGCTCCTTGTTTGTTGTGTGGGTGTCTATTTTTGTCAGTTGGGTTGACGGTTGGACAAGATGATCTTTAAGGTCCCTTCCAACCTAGAAGATTCTGTGATTCTCGTGGATTTTGCCGGTGGTTGTTCCGAGCTAAACCAAACCCTTTGCCCTGTGTTTCCCAGGAAGAGGAGTCAGACTCTACTACATTGGCGGCGAGGTGTTTGCCGAGTGCCTTAGTGACAGTGCCATTTTTGTCCAGTCTCCCAACTGCAACCAGCGCTACGGCTGGCACCCAGCCACAGTGTGCAAGATCCCACCAGGTAAGGAAGGGGTGCCTTAGCCAGGATCTCCATGGGCTTCATCTTCTGCAGCTGATGGCTCACTATGGAGAGTGAGCTCCTTGTCCGGGTGGGCAGGGATTTGCTGAGCTGCATTCTTGGTGATAATCAGCAACTTGAACCCTATTTATATAGTAATCTATATTTTCTATATAATAATATGTAAAAATAATATGTACCATAATATAATAACAATAATAATCAACCTGACAACTTGAGCAGGGCATTTTTTATAGGTTGAAGGATAAGGGAAGGATTTTTTTATAGGTTGAAGGATAAAGGAAGCTACTATATTCCTGTTCCAGTGTCTCACCACCCTCACAGCAAAGAATTTCTTTCTGGTATCTAATCTAAATCTCCCCTCTTCCAATTTAAAACCTTTACCCCTTGTCCTCTCACTACACTCCCTGACAAAGACTCCCTCCCCAGCTCTCCTGTAGCCCCTTCAGATACTGGAAGGGGCTATAAGATCTCCTTGGAGCCTTCTCCAGGCTTAACAACCCCAGCTTTCTCAGCCTGTCAAGAATATAACACAATAGATTTAAATTGTTACTTTTTTCTCTTCCAAGAATATAACATAAGAAATTTTTCTTAATTTAGATTCACCCATAATAGATTTAAATTGTTACTTTTTTCTCTTCTGTAATAAAGCTTCCACCCCTCACCCCCTCCTTGTGAATTATTTTTAATCTAGGGAAATCGCGTTTGCAGGCACCTTGTTGTTCTGGTTACAGCAAACGTATGTCTAAAGTATTTTGTAAGATTACAGGAGAATTTATTGCATCTATCTAGGAAGAAACTACTTTTTTGTTAGATATGTGCAAAAGAGCTAGGATGAGAGGATGCCATTTGAAAGGGAATTCAGCTATTTAGCCAGGCCTAAAAAAGCTCATTTTTTTACAGTTAGAAGTATGTATATTTTTAAAAAATAGATGTTTTTTGTTTAGAAATATTTGAATAAAGATTGTTTGTCTTTTGAGAAGAGATCTGTACATGGCAAGCTCTGGCCCATCTTACTGGGTTTCGTTTCTGGGATACTTAGGAAGCAGCTGCCAGTGTTGCAACCATGACTTAATTCTCCAGCCACATCACAGGAGTCCACCCCGGCTGGAGTCAACATCTGAAGACATAAACAACCCACTGGTTTCCGCTGGGGATTCATCTCCGGCACATTTTATTGCACTCCCTCTCTCCCCACTTCTTACCACAGCCTTTGGCCCCCTTCTCAGGCTCATCTTCAAATCTTTGCTGGGTTTGAAGCGGCGTCTTCATTCCCTCGTTGACGGGACCGAGTGGGACCCACTCCTCCCAGTCACAGTCGTGGAGAGACCTGTTCCCATCTGGTCCACAAGTCTGACCACCTTGGAAGTCTCATCCTGAAGTTTCTTCTTGTGGCGTCTTCATTCCCTCGTTGACGGGACCGAGTGGGACCCACTCCTCCCAGTCACAGTCGTGGAGAGACCTGTTCCCATCTGGTCCACAAGTCTGACCACCTTGGAAGTCTCATCCTGAAGTTTCTTCTTGTCTCCCCATAGCTCTTTCTCTGTGCTCACCCTGACCCTGATGCTCTCAAGCATCTTATTTTCCCTCCTTGGACGTGATATGCCTGACACAGCTTCCCTTCCAACTCCCTGTGAGATACGGGGCTCTTGGGCTGTGCTTTTTTTATTTAACTTCACAAAAACTGGGTAGTTGTTTCTGCAGCTGCTGAGCTGTTGCGCCCGGTTCCAGTCTGCTCCGTGCAGTTCACCCCAAACCAGATGACAGAGCGAGTCCAGCCCAAGAGAGTAGGCTCACAAGTGATTTTTGAGGAAAATACAATTCATCGCAGGCCAAATGGTTGTTTTTTTCAGACTTGGCCCATGTGTCATCCCAACCGAGCACCAGCTGCGTGCCAAGAGTCAGAGTTCTAACTTGTTTATGGTTATCTGGGAGAAAGCAAGCGGAGCAAGGCTTTTTTTAAGTACTATGTATTTATTTATTTATTTAAACGATGAAGGATGTGGTTATGTTTTGCCTTTATCACTTCAAAACCAGTTGAATAAGAAGTTGATCTCAGTCTTTCAGCTGGGACTAAACACTGGGGGAAGACTCCAGTTTTAAAGGAAGACGCTTTGGCTCACAACAGTTAAATTTAAGCGAGGTTTCTAGCAGAAGCAGCTCTGAAACCAGCCTTTTTTACCCCCGTAACTGGTTTCTGGTTTGCCAGGGCGGTCTCACTGCAGAACTTCTCCATTGCTCCTGCTGAGGGACACCATGAAAAGCCAACACCAGTGAGTTCCTGGTTTTAGCCTGTGCGTTCCTTTCCTTCAGGCCCCGCAGCGACTGTGGTTGTTAAATGTTACGGTCATAATGAGGCTTCTAAATTACAATATGAGGGAAATGATTGTGAGGAGGGTTCCACATGAGGGTCCCAAGCCTGGTCTCATAGATGTGGGCACTAGAATTCCTCATTCTGTGTCCTGTGACATGGTTTTCTTCCTTTGCAGCGTGTGAGCTGTGGAGATGTGGCCACCTTGATTCCTTTCTCTGAAACGCTGTGTTTAAACAATCTGTGTGGAGTGTCACACGGGCTGAGAAGATGGGAAAAAGGCGTCGAGTTTCTTTCCATCCTCAGAAAGAAATGGATTTCTTCATCTCGTTAAGCTCATGCCTTGTTCTTCCCATGTTCTTTTTTTCACAGGGTGTAACTTGAAGATCTTTAACAACCAGGAGTTCGCCGCTCTCTTGGCGCAGTCGGTGAACCAGGGCTTCGAAGCCGTCTACCAGCTGACCAGGATGTGCACCATCCGAATGAGCTTTGTCAAGGGCTGGGGAGCAGAATACAGGTCAGGCCTTTTCCGTGACACTTTGCACGATGCTTGTGTTTGCTGGTGCCTCTCCTGTATCTCATGGTGTTCTGCAAAGCTGCTTGACTAACACGGGGGAAATTAGCCCTGTGTCTCCTCAGCAGCACGAGGAGGTTGGGTTCTTGAGGACATGTCCATCTCCCCTCTAGGTTTTCCCATCCTGTTTGTATAAAACACGTGGGGTGACACACTTGGAAGACCACCTGTACTTGGTCACAGTGTTGTACAAACTAAAAGCTTTATCTGAAGCGCAGTAGATAAATCCAGATGGCCTGTGTAGGAGCTATTATTCTTTTTTTTTTTTTAAATTACATGTATATTTTCTTAAAATGAGATGTGTATTTGATAGTTTGAGCATCTTATGACTACGCTGTTATCAGGACAGATCGATGGGAGTGCTTCCTAATAGATATGAGTAGGGTTTGATGCTTCTTAGATGAGGGACTAATGGGATATAAATAAGAGCAGGTTGGCTTGAAAACTTATATTTGGAAGAACTGTTAGAGTTGCTGAAAAATTATAGTTAAATCTCCTCATCCTTTCCTTAGACCTTGTCATTGGGCAATTGCTTAAATGTGAGGGGAAGCAGTGGGAGAAACAGGGTTGCTATTTTTCCCAGTGAATCATGGAATCATGGAATGGTTTGGGTTGGAAGGGACCTTAAAGCTCCCCCAGTGTCACCCCCTGCCCTGGGCAGGGACATGTCCCACCAGACCAGGTTGCTCCAAGCCCCCTCCAACCTCCAGGGATGGGGCAGCCACAGCTTCTCTGGGAATATTGAAGATAAAGCAGGAGATGTGGTAGGGTCTGACATTTGGGATCACTGAGGAGGTTATTTTGAGGACACGGGGACAGACAGTGTGAGGATGGAGCACTCCAGAGCCCGTGTTGCTGTCACTCTGCTGTATCCCCAAGCAATGTCCCCGAGTAGCACAGGGAGTGAAATCAGTGTTCAATAGTACACGTGGGGGAGGTGAAACTCCTTGGAAAACCAGTGTCGTTTTATGAGAGAGAAGGCTCCCAAGGATTTAAGCCGAATGCGATTTTGAAATATTTACTCGAGTGTCTCTACCCTTTAAATCTGTGGCTTTACTGGGAGCTGCGGGTGCAGTCCCTGCCTCGGTGCTCTCCCGCTTTCCTTCACTTCTCCAGATGTTTGGAGTCCATTTTGTTTTGAAACTCTCCTTGGCCCCGCCAGGCCCAGAGCGTTTCAGGCCTGGCTTGCAGCCACGGCTCCTAATGAGATCCAGATGAGCCCGACTTACGGAAAGTCGAGGATCTCATTAGAGCATTGTAGGCAGTGAAACCCTACGCTCCCGCCGGCCGCGCCGGGCTCCTCTCCCGCTCCCTCATTTCCTTGCCACAAAATACTACGTCTCATGGCCTTTGTCAGAGCACGGGTGTTTGTCCAACCCATCCCTATACGAAAACGTTTCTGCGTGCAGAGCGCCGCTCCAGGGAGTTCTGGTTCTGCAGCTTCCCCTTTTTGAGCTGTCTCATCGATGGGGTGTTCAGTGCTCTTGTGTGCCAGGGATTTGGTGGGGGGAATGTTGAGGGAGAAGGTGCATAAGCAGCCCGTGATACAGAGGTTCTCCTCCTGATGAGCTGGAGTCATGGAGAGCTTTGGGGGTTTGCCTTCCTGGAAGGGCTGGAGCCACCATGTTGGTGGTGAAGGTGGAGAGGCAGAATGGAGGTGGCCGGGATAGATTTGCAGAGGGCTCAAGCGTGGCAGCCCCACCAGCAGTGGGTTTCTCTACAGTGTCACTGGGACCATGGTTGGGCTGCTCGGTGTCCAACAGCTCCCAAGGCACTCTCTAATGGCAAACACCCTTGAGTCCCTGTATGGGACAGAACCTGCCCATACACCCACTCCTGGGGCATCACTGGAGCTGGAGATGGGTGGGAATGGGCAGGGACCTGCTGTCCTGCCCAGTTCAAAGGATGAGAGACACAGACTCATCAACAGGACGGGTTACAGCCCTCGGCCAAAGCCTCATGGAGCTGTACCCCAGAGCCTCTGCCCTGCCCTGAAGGGACACGGGTGGTTGTGGGACCTCCATGGAGCAGAGGGTCCCCTCTCCAGCAGCACTTTCTCCCCAGGCCCCACGGGCTTTGGCTTCTCCCTCCCACAAACAGATTCCAAGGGCAACTTCTGCAGGAAACGAGGGTGTAAAACAAGGCCGTTTCCAGGCTATTTCTCTCTCTTTGTAATCCTCCTCCTCCACAGCAGCTGTCCCTGCCTCTCTGTCTGCAGCCAGACTTGGGCCATCCCTGGGCCTGGGCCTTGGTCTCCCATCTCTTCCTGCTTTACCATCTGGAGACCCTCCAGGGGGTCTGGCCTCATGGAGAAGGCAGACAGGAGCGGGAGAGGGTGCTTTGTGCAGGGAAGGGTAAGAGCATGGTGGGTGCTGACCCAGCAAGGCGTCCTCCTCTGCTCTTTGCCTGCAGCCGCCAGCTCTTGAGGGGGTTTTAAAACGGGCAGTTTCTGTTTTTCTGGTGGGTTTTCCAACTTTTTATGCTCTGCAGCGTTGGGTGATGGAACATCAGTCTGCAGGAGCGCCCCGGCCCCAGCTTGGGCAGGGTTCAAACCTCCCAAATGGGGCAGAAAGGATGCTCGGGGGCAGCTCCGGCCACACAAGGGAGAGGGCTCTGAGGGAACGGCTAAATGGGGACCTCTCCATCACTTCCACCTTCTGCCAAAACCTAAAGGTGTGGTAAAAAGCATCACTCTCTACAACTGCTTGAAAGGACATTGTAGAGAGATGGGTGCTGGTCTCTTCTCCCAGGTAATTAGTGACAGAACAAGAGGGAATGGCTTCAAGCTCCAACACGGTAGGTTTAGACTGAACATTAGGAAAGAGTTTTTCACAGAAAGAGTGGTCAGAGACTGGAATAGGCTGCCCAGGGAGGTGGTTGAGTCACCATCCCTGGATGTGTTTAAGAGTCATTTAGATGTGGTGTTGGGGGATATGGTGTAGGGGAGAACTTTGTAGAGTGGGGTTGATGGTTGGACTTGATGATCCCAGGGGTCTTTTCCAACCTGAATGATTCTATTATCTAGTGGTTCTAGATTCTAGTGGTTGAGGCACCATCCCTGGAGGTGTTCAAAAGACGGGTTGACATGGTCCTCAGGAATATGGTTTAGTGGTGTGGGGTTGTTTTGTTTGTTTGTTTGTTTGTTTGTCTGTCAGAGTTAGGTTGATGGTTGGACTAGATGATCTTTAAGGTCCCTTCCAACCTAGATGATTCTATGATTCTATGATAGAGAAATTTAACATAGTTGGTAAAGCGCTTCCGTTGCTGTCTAATTAGGAGAGGCAAGGTCTGCGAAATAAAACTGAGGAATTTTGCTGGGATAAACCCCTTCCTTTCTCTTCGGGGAATCAGATGCTGCCTGTTTTCAGGAATCTTGAGGAGTAAATAGGTTCTGTAGCGAGTTGCTCCCTTGGGATGGTGAGAAATGTGAAGAGAAAAGACGGTGTTTTTACCAGAAGTTGGCAGCGTCGGCCAAAAAAGCATGTTAGAGAGGAGAGAGACATTCCTTGGGCCCCAAGTGCAGGACTGTTGTCTCAGCAGGAAGGAATGCTCCGGTAGCTGTGAAACCTTTTCACGTTTGTAAAGTTTTGTAAGTCACATTTATGTTCTTTTTTTTTTTTTTTTTTTTTTTTTTAAAAAAAAAAAAAAAAAAAAAAAAAAAAAAAAAAAAAAAAAAAAAAAAAGTTCTAGGAAAAATATTAAACCC